ATGTGAGACCCCAGACTCAGAGTTGGAAGTCTTCAGCTCTGCAGGACCGAGGGTTGCTCGTTTCCATGCAGCTGCGGATAAAGAAAGAGGCTGAGAAGGGACCAGACTTCCACCTGCGTGGACAGGGCTGATTTGACTGGGACTGATGCCTACTCAGTGCCGAGGTCAACCGTCCAAACAGCCTGATCCAGGGGACTAGTTTTGCATCTACGACATCTTCACATCAGCGGCATCTTACTACGCTAGTGACCGAGGTATCAGCATGGAGTCAGCTGAAGAAGATGGCGACTGAGGCCAAGCAAATGTTAGAAAAGCAAGTGGAAGCTGTGCTAGCATTGGTGAACTGTCAGTTTTCTGTAAAATCTTGCGGAGCTAAATCTAAGGACTTTGAGTAAGATATCTTGAAAATGTTGACATGTTTGTAGTTTGATTTTGCATTGGTATTGCTTTGTTATTAGCCAGAGTTTTGTTCTCTCTTGTTAACATTGCTGTGTCTATAGTTTTGTTAATAACCAGAAGTCTGCTTTGATGATGCTGAATAATTTGTTTAGAGTTTTTTGGATAATGTAAATGGGCGTGTTTAAAAACAAAAGTAAAGGGGGATATGTGGGGCACGGCTACAGTGTCTTGGCCAGGTTCAAGCCTCGGACTAATGAAAGGACAGGGTCCTCTCATTGCCACGTGCAAGTCCCAGCTGGAAGGGCAGGGCCCTCCCAGCACAATCATAGCCAATGGCTGGGGTTGTAAGCTTGAACCTATGGTCCGAACACGTAGCCCCACGTGCCTTGTGCTAGAGTTCAGGTGCATGTAGTTGAGTAGGGTTGGAACTCACGAGAATGCTGTAAACAACGTGATCACACCCCTACTTTGCCACGTGGCATCTGCTATAAAATAAAGACAGGGCTTGTGGGCGCTGGCGCTGTCTCCTCATCAGGGACAGTGTCCCACCAAGACCCAGCTTTCATTCTCTTGTCTGTCTTTTCTCAATCCTTCCTCCCCCCCACCCCCCCACACACTCAGGATCACCTTAGGCTGTAACAAGTGGCGCCCGAGCAGGCCCCTTTGGCTGTAACATGAGAGAAACACATTGATTGGTTGCCTCCTGCACGAGCCCTGACCAGAGTCCAGGCAGGGAAGGAACCTGCAAGCAAGGCACATGCCCTTGACTGGAATCGAACCCGGGACCTATTGGTCAGAGGCTGGCGCTCTATCCACTGAGCCAAACCGGCCAGGGCTATCTATTTTTAAAATATATTTTTATTGATTTCAGAGAGGAAGGGAGAGGAAGAAAGATAGAAACATCAATGATGAGAATCCTTGATGGGCTGCTTCCTGCACGCCCCCTACTGGGGATCAAGCCTGCATCTCCGGCATGTGCCCTGATGGGAATCAAACCATGACCTCCTGGTTCATAGGTCTACACTCAACCACTGAGCCACACCGGCTGGGCTCATTTAATTCCATTACCGATTATGGCAGCAGGCATCTTAATGGTTAGAATGCAGACTTTGTGTTCAGACATACACAACATGGTTTGGATTCTGACAGTATCACTTACTAGTCATGTGCCCGTGGGTAGGTTAACCTCTCTGAGTCTCAATTTCCTCATCTGTAAAATGCTGCCAATAATAATACACACCTCACAGGTTCGGTGAGATAATGCATGCGAAGTACTGAACACAGAATGACTAATTAATATCTGCTTGCTCTGTGCCACTCATGCTGGTCCCTGTGGATATGAAGGTGAAAAAAGAATTCACAACTAAGTGGGGTCAAGATGAATAAATAAATCATCATCTACAATGTGCTACAGGGTATGGGTGATGGAACAACTAATTTTTCAGAGGTAATCAGGGAAGGCTGCTACAAGGTGGAGATATCTGAATTGCACATGGGCCAGGCGCTCGGTGGTTGGCTCACAGTTGCCATGCAATAAATGCCTGGAGAATGAATCATGCAAATTGCTCACAGGCCAGGGAGGCTGCCAGCTGACATCTGAGTCCACAGAGTACCTTGTGTCTTTCATTTTTCTCCTACATGCATTTCCATGTGCTGACATGGCCTTTGTATTTGTTGTTACTCATGATTCCATCATAATTTGTGTGTGATCCCTGATGGAATAGTTTCTAATATTTTCTTCTTATTAATGCACTCTAAGTTTCTGAGGGCAGCAAGTATGTCTTTGTTCACCCAAAGTGTACCTGGCATGTAGTAGGAATGTTGAATGAATGAATAAACTCCTTTGACTGCTGGCCCGACTATGTCCTGACTATGGGATCTTGAGTGAGTCACTTAACCTCTGTGCTTCAGTGTTCCCATCTGTAAAGTGGGTTAGCACATCTCACAGGTGATGGTGAGAACTAAGTGAGATGATGCACAGAGTCCATCAGGTAACACATGTGCCTTAAACAGCGGTGTCCATTGGCACCACTCAGCTCTAACTGGTATGCTGACAAGTCCAGGAGACGTTCACAAATGTGATCGGGTGAAGCCTGGGGTGCTGCTGCACCTGCTGGCAGGTGAGAGGTTCCAGAACTCCTTTCTGATGCTCAGGTGAGACCTGTCAGATAATAAGGAGTCTCTATTTGGGATGCCATTAGGAATGTGGGTGGCCCCTTGGACTGCTCCCTGACCTCCACCCTCTCCTGATTCTTTAGGGACATAGCTCAGGGCATTGCTGATTCAGAAAGGGTATTACGGGTGAGTCCCCTCATCTCCTCCTGCCTCCTTGGCTTCACTGTGAACCAGGGGCGGGGGGGGGGGGCGGGGGGGACTAATTAAGGCTTCTCTCCTGTCAGTCAACAGGTCAACAGGTGGGTAAGAGTCACAGAGAATGTGACTCCCACTGGGCTCAACAGTGTGTCAAAATATAAAATTAGGGGGGAAATCTCTAGATTTAGAAACTCCAGACCCTAGGAGGCCCCTGAGGCCACAGGCTATGAATTTAAAAAAGGGCAATTGCACATTTTTAAGGTTTTGGAGAGGAAAAAATTTCAAGTTTAAGAATTGTTTTCAAGTTTCGAATACACCAGGTAAAGTTCATTGATGGCTTCTGTGCAGGCCTTGTGGGAAGCCATTCATGCATTTCATTCACTTATTTATTTATTCGCCCCTCTCTCCCCCCAGCACCTTTTTGGTGAATGCGCCCTGAGCCTAGATTGCTAAGTGGCTTGTGGGGATTAAAAGGCCGGCCAGTTTTATTCCTTGCTGCCTCTCTGCGCCTGCTCTGGGTGTGCTGGAACGCAGCTGCCTGGAAAGGTTCACTGTGGGGACAGATAAGGCCCGAGAGGTGGAATTCACCGAAGCTCTGAGAACAATTCCAGGAAGGGAGTAAATGCAGCTCCTGAAGTCTGAGTGATAAGGTGGCCAACATCTTAGAGCAGTGGTTCTCAACCTTTCTAATGCCTCGACCCTTTAATACAGTTCAATTGAACATAAAGCATAGTGATTAATCACAAAAACAATATGTAATTATACATGTGTTTTCCGATGGTCTTAGGTGACCCCTGTGAAAGGGTCGTTTGACCCCCCCCAAAGGGTCGCGACCCACATGTTGAGAACCACTGTCTTAGAGGGAGGTGATCCAGCCCAAGCCAGAGAGATTATCCCAAACTGGGCTGGATTCTAGCAACCGTGGCAGAGGCAGATTTTATAGGGTGGTCACCAGTGGTGTCAGAGATGCCCCTTTGCCATATCACTGGGAATTACCCATGCCCAATTCTTAAAACCCAGGATCTGCCCAACCACACTTGCCAGGCTGGAGGGCTTGAGAGTACAGGCCGGGAAGCTGTCTTTGTGGCAGATTGAAATGGCCAAGAGTCCTGGGCACTGGTCCCATCTAGGTCTGGAGAGAGAAGCAGACAAGCCACAGACTCAGCTCTCAGCACAGCAGGAAGACCCCCTCACACAGAGCTCAGAGCACAGTAAACACTTAGTAAATGCTTGTTAAATGAATGCATAAACACTGTGATGGAAGAAGCCCCCACGGTAGTATGGGATTTAAGGAAGGCTTGCTGGAGGAAGTGACATTTTAATTAAGGCACAGAAAAGAGGTAGGAGTAGCCAGGCCAAGCGGGCAAGGAAGAGAGTTCCTTGGTGGAAGCAACAGCCCAGGCAGAAGCCTAGATGGTCCAGTGCAGCCTGCGTGCCCTTGGAATACGAGGAGATGAGGCGGAAACCGAGGCCAGGTGTGCAAAAACCCGGCTTCGAGGCGGATAACTTGTCAGAAAACACCTCTGAATTTAACGGGTGATGGATTTTATGTTCCCCTCCTTACCCTTTTGCCCAGTGAGGTTTAATTGTCCTTAAAAGGAAGAAATGACCGTCGTGGGGATTTAACCAGTGGTGTCTGAAAGGCCATTTTGCCCCCGAGCTTTGGAGTCAGATGATCCCTGGTTGGCATTCCCAGTTCTGTCCTTTGCAAGCTGAACCGGCTTCTTCGCCTTTCTTCTGAGAAAGGAAGCCAACTACAGGCCCGCTTCCTGGCTTAAATGAGACAACCCAGGCTTTGTTTGCCTGTGTACCTGCCTGTCCCTCGCTTGCTCTCAACCCTTAGGTGGCAGCCACTGCGGCAGATGATGCCCAGCAGCACCAGGCGCACAGTAGGTGCTCAGTGAATGAACCGATGCCTCCACGAATTCTGGTGTCACGTTGTGGAACAGAGACGCCTTGGGTTCCCATCCCTCCTCCATGCCCTAGTGAGCTCTTTAGGGGCAGGGACGGGAGACTGGGTTCGGCCCTCCGCGAGTTTGACATGCTTGCGTAGGGGAACACACACAGTAGGTGCTCGTGCTCGGCCCCTGGCTCTCGGAGCCGGGTAGCTGGGGTTGGGTAGTGCGTGATACTCTCTACCCTTGGAGTTTAACGCTCTGAGCCTGGGCGCGGAGGAGCTGGAAGTTCTCACGCCCGAGCCCTCGCGACGGGAACGCGGCGGCCGAGCAGCAGCTCTGGGGGCGGGGCGGGCGGCGCCGGCGTTTCTGTCGGAGGACGCAGGTCAGCGCGTCGCGCCTTTAAGGCGTCCGCAGAGCCGGGCGGGGGAGCGGAGAGCAGCGCGAGCACCAGCGCGGCGGCCGGACGGAGCTGCGGACTGTGCGGGAGTCGGGCTCGTGCGGCGGGACGCAGGCGGCGGAGGTGAGGTGAGGTGAGCGCGGGCGGCGGGGCTGCGCGCCTGGGAGGGGGTGTCCGCCGGCTCCCCGATGACCCCGTGACCTCCTGCACTTCCCGAGTCCCGGCTGCTCGGCCTCCGCCCCGGCCCTCACCCCGGGGTGAAGACGGGTCGGGGACCTGCACCCCCCTTTCCTCTCCATTTCCCCGCTCTGGCGTCAGCCTCCGCCCGCTCCCTCCCGGTACCCAGATAGGTTCGACATTCCCGAATCCCGGTTCCCCCACTTCCTGGGACCAGGATGCCTGCCTCCCCAAAGCCCGGGGACAAGGTGAGGACGGGTCGGGGACCTGCACCCCTTTTCTACTCCTCCTCCCCTCCAGTCGCGCCGGCACCAGCCTTTGCGCCCCTCCCAGCGCCCGGCTGGTGTGTAGGCTCCTGCACCCCCGTTCCTCCCACTTCCTAGGGAAGGGCTGCAGCTCGCCCTTCCAGCCCAAGTCAGCTCCCGCCCAGCCCCAGGCATCTGCACCGCTCCCAGCCGGTACCTACCCCCAGCAGCCTTTCCGCGCCTCTTTCCGCAACCTGCCCCGGTTCCCTCGCCCTTGCGCCCTCTCCTCCTCGAAACCCTCGAGCCGGGATGCTTGTTCTGACACCCTGACAGCCAGCGCCCACCCTGCAACCCCGGCATCCCTGGCCCACGCCTACGCGGGCTTCCTGCCTCTGGTAAATGCGGTTGTGTAACGCCGCCGCCGCCCCGCCGGTCGAGCACGTGCAACATTTGCATCCTGGAACCCGCAGTCCTTGGGGGGATGCCAAGTTGACTGAGGGAGGTAGGAAGGGAGGACGAGGGTGCCAGAGGGTCTAGAGGTTGTGCATCCAGGGGTATGTATGTTGAGCGCTTTTTATGCCCCAGGGGCTGGAGGGTTATGAAGAGGTCCCAACGGGAACCGGAGGCCAGCATTGGCCTCCGCTCTCATCTGCTCAGAAATCTCTCCTGGCTGACTCCACCTGGATAAGAGCTTAAAAATAACTTATTGTTAGCAATAACTGACAATAAGCAAGTACTGCGTGCCAGGCCATGTTCTAAACACCTTTACGTGATAACCTGCCTTACTCCTCCCAGCTGCCCCAAGAGGTAGGTACCAGTGCTCCGCCCATTTCTCAGAGGAAGGTGAGACTCCCTGAGATGGTCTCTTCCCAGGACATTTACCCAATTGTAAATAATAAATTCTTATGAACAATATTTTTATAATATGGGAAGTTAGAAAGAAGAGAAATTAATAACCTTTATAATATGGGAAGTTATTTTTCTAAAATTAGGTTCTCAGATCAGCAAGGGGTTCTTGGTGCCCAAATTGCTCAAGGGACTTGCTGGAGGCCACACGGCTAGAAAGTACCAGGGGTGGGGTGCAAAACAGCTCCTGGGATGTTAATGGCTACTTTCTGGGTTCCCTGTGCTGCCCCAGCCCATCAGCCTAGGCCCCTGGAGACGCTGCCTGTTGGGGTCCTGCCCCAGCAGGTCCAGGGGTTCCCAAAGGTGTGGACGGAGTCGGCGAAGAAGGAATGACACGGAGACAGCATTCAGATGATCAGCATAGCCAGGTTCTCTCGCCAGGTTCTCTCTTTATTCTCCTGTTACATCTGTATTTATACCATTTAATCCTATAAGCATGCCTCTATAATCACATCATGGTATGTTTTGGGTAACCTTCTACAGTTCCTTGTTTCATTTCTATAGTTTCTTATCTGACCTTTGCCAAAAATCCTGTGTCTATCTAGTTCTGTTGATTTTAATCTTGTCTAGGTTAATCTCTGTGTTCCATTACAAGGGCTATTCCAAGGTCACTATTCTACTGCTCTACTGATAGGCTACAAGGAAGTGACTGAAGGAGATTATCCTACCCAGTAAAGGTTATGTCCTCCCAGCCTCGCTGCTTGACTGCCCTGTGTCGGTGGGTCTCAAGGGGTATAGGCTTTGGTGCTTTCCCTGGTGGGCAGACCCCTGGGAATGTGGGCCCAACAAGTCCCAAATTTATTGCCAACAGTCTTAATCCAAGTTCTTCATAAGTAGTACATAGTATTTCTGTAACACTAGGGGGTTTTACTGATTTATTCTCTTCCTTAGTCCTGTTAATCCCTAACTCCAGGGAAAAATCCTCACCTGGGGAAACAATCTTTCTCGGGGAGGTGGTCCTGTTTAAAACATAGCACTAAGAGGGGGAGCAAACATATGCCATATACGCCAGGTCCCTTGAAACATAAGCTGTGCAGATGTTTCTTCCCTGCAGCGACTGTGTCAAGCAGCAAGGGTGGACCGGCTTCCGGCACCTGCCCCCCACCCTCCCTGCTTCCTTTGCTGTAACCCAGGCAAGAGAACACACATTCTTCCTCTGCGCCTTTGCTCAGTCTGTTCCCTCCTCTGGGAATGCCCTCCCTGGGATCTCTGGTGTCTAAATCTTACCTACCCCTTAGTGTCTAGCTCATCTGTCCCCTCCATGAACACTCCGCTGATTTCTCCCCTGGTCCCAACTGAAATTGGTTCCTTTCTCCCAGCTATGGGATCTCACTACCAGGGCATTTGGAAAGTTTTACTGCATGTGTCTGCCTTGCCCTCGGAGGTGCAGTTGTGCTGGCAGATCAGAAGTGCTCCCCAAAGCCCCTCTTTTCACCTGCCCGGTGAAGCCTCAGGATAGAAAGTGGTCCATGGGGATGGAGTAGTTTCTGAAGAAAAGATAGGCTCAGGATTTCTGAACCCTGCCATGCCAAACGCTGCAGCTGGATCACCGGGAGAATGGCTCAGCGTGGTACCTAACATTAGAGTTACATGTTTGTCTTTGTTCGTAACCCAGAGGGTTCCCACCAGTAAATCGGAGACTTGGGTCCAGATCCCACCTCTGTCACTTGCTAGCGGTGTGGCCATGGGCCGGGTACCTAGCTTCCGCTTCTGGCAACAGTACCTGCTTCAGAGGCAGTGGTAAGATTGAGATGAAATGAAGCACAGGGCCCTGCATATGGTCATCGCTCGATGGACACCAGCTATTGTGAAGAGGGACTGCCACCTTGAATTACCCCAAAATGGTAAATCAATACTAAAATGCTCATGCTGACTCTGCTTAGAGGTGGGCCAGGGGAGTTTGGGCCAAGAAGAGGTAAGCATTTTTGTGTGTGTGTGCTCAGAAAGGCCTGTGAGGCTTTCTTCAACTCTAAACCATCCGTTGCCTTTGCAGTAAGAGCTAGAATTGCCTTTCTATTTTTTAGCTTTCAAAATTGATGGGCTTTGAGTTCTGTGAGGATCCGCAGTTTGTGCAATTGTAATTATGAAACTTAATGATATGAGGAAATAAGAGTGTGTGTTGCTGCTTCAGGCCTAAGTCGGGGGGCAAGAAGTCTGAATCAAAGGTAATGTGTGGATTTGGAGGGAAGGAAAGCAAGCATGAGTGTTTTCTCTTGGCAGGCTAGTAAGCCTTTAGCATAGAATCAACTTCCTTGTCAAAGTATTTAGAATATGCTGGAAAACTAATTCTGCAGGTTGATTAAAAAAATATTTTAGAATTTCTCCTAAATTGATTCTTTATTAGAATAAGTTAGAATCCCATTTGAGAATTTAATGACTGTTGAGTTTAGGTATTTTAAGACATAAATGTTGTGAATGTCACAGTTCTGTGGAATTTAACAGGCTATAGGACTTTTCTTTATTACTGTGACCCTGTAGGGACATAAACACTTATTTTGTCCTGTCCCATATCGTGGCCACTGGCCACTGTGTGGCTGTTAAAATTAAAATTAATTCAAGTTAAATAAAACTAAAAATTCTGTTTATCAGTTACACTAGCCACATGTCAGGTGCTCTGATAGCCACGGGGCCGGCAGTACCATGTGAGGCAGAGGAGATAGAGAACATTTCTATTTTCACAGAAAGTTCTGTGGGGCTGGACTGTTTAGATCAATGAGGCCATGGGGAAGCTGCTTGGTTATTAAGTTCCGTTCTTTCTGGCAAGTCATCTGCAGGCCAAGAAATGGAGTGTGGAGAGGACGTTTCATTGTCAAGAGTGGAGATGGTAATAAATCCCCATAGCCTCCTTTTGGCTGTCTGGCTCAGCTGCGTTAACACTGCCAGATTCAAAGGAGGGGGCAGAGGGCCCATCAAATGAAATGCCTGGGGGCAGTATTTCTCCATCCCTGCTGCCTGTTCCAACTGCCTAGGGAACTTTTTAAAAAGTGCTCCTGCCTGTGCTTTGCCCCGGCCAGCTAATCTGAAGCTCCCAGTGGGGCCCAGGAATTCCTATTTTTAAAAAGCTCCCTGGGGGATTCTAATGTGTAGCCAGGGCTGAAAACAACTGCCTTCAAAACTGTGAATTAAAAAAAAAAAGGCCCTGAGGATTAGAAGACAGTGCTTCAAGGTAGATACAGTGAGTGGCTAAAAATGTTCCTCATCAATTTACTTTGGTAATAAATCCAGGGTTGGAATTGAGTGGGCTCACTTCGGGCTCACTTCCTCTGAAAGGGCTCTCAACTGAGTGCAACTTTGCCTCCCAGGACCATACGGCAGCATCTGGAGACATTTTTGTTTGGCACAACTTGGGGATGGCATCCAGTGTGTAGCGTTCCTAGATGCTACTAAATATCCCACAAAAAATAAGTATCTGGCCCAAAATGTCAGTTGTGCCATGGTTGAGAAACCCTAATCTAGACATAATATTTGCAAACCAAAGCCCTCTCTGACCTTGAATGCTGTTGCCTCTTCAAAGAAGATGAAGATATTTTCCTAAACCAACCAGATCCTCGGAAACCCTCTTGATTATATTCCAGGCTTTCCGGTCCCAGAAGTCATGTTGCTGTCTGTGGTCTGATGCATTTGGGGCAGCACCAGGAAACTGCTAATTTAGGGGAACGAGGCAGCCTTCGGAAGGTATAGGCAGAGGTTCTTACACTGCTGCAGGTTGAGCCCCTCTTCTTCTTGTTAAATAATTATCTGAAGTAATAGCAAGTGATAAACAAAAATTCATTTTAGACTCTAATGAAGAATAAAAAGCATTTATTTGAGCAAAAAGAGCTGCAGTTCAGAGACACAGATTCAAGTAGCAACCTAAATTGTGTTCCACAGAGATAAAGGGGAGGCCAGCTTTTAGAGAGGAAGTTCCTGCCCAAGTTCCCACTTTTACGCAAATGAATTTTCCAAATTGTGCAGTTCTGTTTGAATGGTGCAGGCCTCCATCCTTTGGTAGAAGGAAGAAACCTGGATTTACCTGCTGTTATTCACTCAGACAATGTAAATAATCAGGGCATAGTGCTGGAAGTCAAGATGTTACTGGTAGGCTCGCTAAAGGAGGGACGCATGAGGCCAAAGTGGTAAGGAATTATAAATTTACTAGAGGCGCCCTCTTGCAATCTGGGACCCCTCGGGGGATGTCAGACTGCCAGTTTCGGCCCAGTCCCTGCAGGCCAGGCTGAGGGAACGCACCGGGCCTCTAGTATGCATATAAGATCTTTGGTTAATCTCTTCCCACCCGCCTCTCTCCCCCCTTCCCTCTGAGATTCATCAGTCTGTTCCATGTTTCCATGCCTGTGTGTTGAGCGTCTGCCCCCTGGTGGTCAGTGCGTGTCATAGCTACCAGTCGAATGGTCGGACAGTTGCTTAGGCTTTTATATAGAGAGATTAGGTCA